GTGCATTTGTTAGATTGGCCTCTGCTACTTTGCTGTGTAGCCTGAAGGTAAGTTTCTTGTTAGGTGGTGGTATTATGTCCAAGTTTGCTAGGATGAAGGTAGGATAGTGGTCAATTGTTCTGTTAGTGATTATACCTGATGCAAGGTGAGCTGTTATGTTAGTCCATCGGTGATCGAAGGTTGTAGCGGATATTTGAGTGATTCTGGTGGGCTTGGTGATTGTGGGGATTAGCATACAGGAGTACATGATGCTTAAGAAGTAGTCGACTTGGGGACTATTATGTTAATATCTTATGGTGATATGATATTATTAATGATCATAACAATAAATATGCCTCTCAAGTTATTCATATAGTTAATATTAAACTAGATATAAATTCAAACAACAGATACTCAAATCAAACATTTACATTGTGTCACACTGTTCAATACTGCCATAAACCTTAGTCTTGGGTCACATACAGGGGTGTTAGTGGTTAGTTTCAAGTAAATACGACATTTTATCAAGATATTGCATATAAACTATTCAAAACAAGAAATATAAGAAATAGTTTGCTTGGAAATATTTTGCTTTTGCAATAGCAGCCACACTTTTATGCTTAAACTAAAGTTTATATTTAACTTTAATTAATTTTTAATTTTTCAAAGGTACGTCTTAACCAAACTAGAAATGCTCTTCAAATCAAGGGACCCAGAATGTGGAATGACCTTCCCAATCATGTCAAAGACTGTACCTCTCTCAACCAGATTTAGAGAAAAACTAAGTACTACCTAATAAACTCCATGTAACCTACCTTACCCCCTAAATGTCAACCCATGTCTACTATTTTAAACAATGAAGTTTGTTGACCAAATTGTATATTTGTTATTTTTCTGCCATGTTCCTCCCTTTTATTATTTTTTATGTTCTCAACACAATTTATACTTTAATCTCAATTAGTATTAAGTTTTAGTCTTAGTATTTTTCCTGCCCGAAACGCTTTGCGTAATAGTGACTTTAGGCATTGTATGTACTAGCTCTATCTATATTTATTTATTTATTTATTTATTTATATATATACAAGAAGGTACATTGGGTTTGTGAGAATACATTGGATAGTACATTATTTACATTCTTGTAAAGCCACTAGTACGCGCAGCGTTTCGGGCAGGTCCTTAATCTAGCAGATAATTTTAAGTACGTAATTTCTATCAGAATTGATAAATGATAAAGATACATTACAAGAGAAGAATGAGATGAGGGAGATAAGTAGGTATATTAAAGCACATTGTTATATTAAAGCTCTGATTAATTACATTGACAGCTTGATTAGTAATTTAAACAAGGTTAATAGACACCATACAGCAGATTGACAGCACATATAAGACAGCAATGATCACAATGGTAAAGATGTTCAGATTGGGTACATAAAGATTGGGAGACTGGGTAGCAAAAGATACAGACAAACAAGATTTATAAACACCATACAGCAGATTGGCAGCACATATAAGAAGACAGCAATGATCACAATGGTAAAGATGTTCAAATTGGGAACATAAAGGTTGGGAGATTGGGTAGCAATTGATACAGTGCAATTTTAAGGCAAAAAGTGTAAAACTATGAAGATGAAATTAGGTACTTTTTAGTATTGATTTTGAATGATGTAAAAGTTGGACAGCTTTTCAATTCAGTAGGGAGTGAGTTCCATAAACTGGGTCCCTTTATTTGCATAGAGTGTTTACAAAGATTAAGTTTAACTCTGGGGATATCAAAGAGATATTTATTTCTGGTGTGGTGATAATGGGTCCTATTACATCTGTCCAGGAAGAGTTTCAGACAAGGATTTGCATTTAAGAACAGGGTTTTGTAAATGTAGTTGACACAAGAGAATTTGTGGAGTGAGATTATGTTTAGCATGTTTAGGGAGTTAAACAAGGGGGCTGTGTGTTGTCTGAAAGCAGAATTTGATATTATTCTGATAGCAGATTTTTGCTGGGTGATGATGGACTTGAGGTGGTTTGCAGTGGTTGAACCCCATGCATAGATACCATAGTTGAGATAGGGATAGATTAGTGCATAATATAGAGAGATCAGAGCAGAGTTAGGAACATAATATCTGATTTTGGAGAGTATACCAACTGTTTTAGAGACTTTCTTAGTTATGTGTTGTATGTGGGTACTGAAGTTGAGTCTCTTGTCTAGGAATATGCCAAGAAACTTTCCATCATTTTTATTGCTAATGTTTACATTGTCAATCTGAAGCTGAATTGCATTTGTAGATTTGCTTCCAAATAGGATGTAGTAGGTCTTTTCTATGTTAAGTGTTAGTTTGTTGGTTGACATCCATAAGTGGACTTTTTTTAGTTCATTATTAACAACATCATTTAGTGTATGTGGGTTGGGGTTGGAGTAGATGAGGGTTTTATCATCAGCAAACAAAATAGGTTTCAGAATGTTAGAGACATTAGGCAGATCATTGATGTATATAAGAAATAGAAGAGGTCCCAAGATGCTGCCCTGTGGCACTCCAACAGTTATTGGTAGAATGGGAGAGGTTATATTATTGATGGCTACACATTGGTGTCTATCACTAAGATAGGATTGGATATAGTCCAGTGCATGGCCTCGGATTCCATAATGATGGAGTTTACTTAAGAGGTAATCGTGATTAACAGTATCAAAGGCCTTTCTCAGGTCAATGAAGAGTCCAATTGGAAACTCATTTTTGTCAAGAGCTGAGTAAATTATATCAAGGAGACTAATAATTGCATCGTTGGTACTCTTTTGAGAGCGGAATCCAAACTGACAAGGGCTAAGAATGTCGAACTTTACGAGATAGGAGTAGAGCTGTTTGTAGATCATTTTTTCAAATATTTTTGATAGTATGGGTAGGTTCGATATTGGTCTATAGTTGTTTATGTCTGCCGGATTACCTCCTTTATGAACTGGCGTTACTCTTGCTTTTTTAAGGATATCAGGGAAGGTATGACACTCAAGGGGGTTTGTTGAACAGCAGAGCTATAGGTGGCGCAAGGGCGTGGGAGGCGCTCTTGTATACAATGGATGGGATTTCACTGATGTTCCCAGCTTTGGTTTTTAGTGAGTGTATGATGGACACAACATCTGTCGGGCTGACTGGTGAGAGGAGAAGAGAGTTTGGATAGCTGCCTGAGAGATATGTGTCTGAGTCTGTGGGATTTTACTTGCAAGGTTAGCACCAATCGATGAAAAGAAGCTATTAAATTCATTCGCCATTTCTAAGTCAGATGACAGTGTAAGGCCATCCTTAGAGAGTGTTATCTGGTTGTGGGAGTGTTGTTTAGTTCCCAGGATGTTAGAGATGGTATTCCATGTGCTTTTCATGTTTCCTTTTGCTTCTTTGAATCTAGTCTCATAATATGAAAGTTTTGCTTTTCTTATGATACTGGTAAGCACTGACGAGTACCTTTTAACTACTTCCATTGAAACTAGGCCACTCCTAAATTTCTTTTCGTATTCATGTTTTTTGTTGATTGATTTAATTATGCCACTTGTGAGCCACGGGTTATTTTTTCTTTTATCAGTTACTTGTTTGGTAAGGAGGGGACAGTGAGTGTTGTAGAGGCTTAGAGTTTTGGAGAGAAAGAGGTTAGTTGATGAGTTTATATCCTGTGAATTATTAAATTCAGATTCCCAGTTAATATTGTGGAGTGCATTAGAGAGATTGCCTAAAGCTGATTCACTATGTAACCTGAATGAAAGTTTTTTGGTTTCTGGTGGTGATGTGTCAATGTTTGCTATGAGGAAAGTAGGATAGTGGTCAGTTGTTCTGTCATAAATTACCCCAGATGTAAGGGGAGCTGTTATATTAGTCCATAGGTGATCCAGGGTAGTGGCAGATGTTTGAGTGACTAGGGTGGGCTTGGTGATTGTGGGGATTAGCATACAGGAGTACATGCTGTTACGGAAATAGTCAACTTGAGGGTTGTTTTGAAGACCCGGGTCAATATTGAAATCCCTCCCAGAATGATGTGATTTTTGTTGAGATTGTTATTTATGATAAGATTCCTTACATTGTCAGAGAATAAAGCAATGTTGGTATTAGGAAATCTATAGATGGCACCGATAGTCAGGGAGGATTTAAGGGATTTACTGGAAAACTTGGCAAAGGTATATTCACAATAGTCGTCTCTATCACTAATGACACTATTGCAAATGAAGGTATCTTTGTAATATATTGCTGTACCACCTCCTTTTTTATTAGGCCTGCAGTTATGAATGGCTTTATAACCAGCTAAGTTGTAGAGTTGGGTATAGTCATTACTTAGCCAAGTTTCTGTTAAAATGATAAAAGATAATTTAGTACCTAGTGCTGTAAGAAGTGCATTTATATCATCAAAATGTTTACCAAGTGACCTAACATTTTGGTTGTAAACTGATAAGCAGGTGTTATTTAGGAGTTTGTTTTTTGCAAGATTTGCTGTGTAATACCTGCAATAATGATGATCAATGTGCTGATTTGTGTGGATATGGGACAGAAGATTTCGATCAGGATCAATATCAGTAAGCATATAGATAAGATAATGTCACGATACAATAAGATAAGCAATTTCAGGAACAGATGAAAACTAAATCTGCTGTAAAATAGAAAGTAATTATAGCAAAACACAGCAATATAATAATATAACAATACAATAAGAGCTTACAAAGTATTAAGTCTGCTAAATTAGAGAATAATTATGGCAAAACACAACAATAAATGCAAGTAAACAAAAGAATTGAAACAATTAGAGGTAGAATTAAGGTCACTAGATAGCCATGGAGGATACACAAGTTTGGTGGAGAGAACAAAAAAATCAGTAGAGACTGTCAAGATGAATATATAAAAAAAAAAAATCATTTTTTTTTTTAATTTTGATGGATTTTTTATAAATCCATCAATGTTTGTATCTGACCTTGTATATATGTACTTTACCTGAATAAACATTTGATTTGATTTTTGATAAGCCAGAACTATACTAAAGAGTAATTACTTTTACAGGAAGCTGCGAAGAAATTTTTGAGAGTGTTGAGCCTGCGGGTTGTTGTGAGCAGCAGGTCCCCGGAGTGCCAGGAGTGCCGGTGTGCGGGCTCCACCGCTCTCACTACACTCCTGTGTTACAAGTGTTCTCACACCTCCTATGTCCAAGGCTTATTAGAGGTCAGGGAAGCCCAGCAGCCACAGACGGGGCTGGTCGATGATAGCTTGACGCAGGTAAGTCCTTCACAGTAACAAGCGACAAAAAAAAAGGAACTCGCAGAGGAGGAATGATGCAGTACATCTGACGAGTGTATTTTCCAGCTTCAATATCTTCACCATAACTGACGCATTTTGCTTTCCAATACAATCCTTATTCAAGAGACAATCATAACACAAGAGCCTCTAGACAACCACATTTAAACATACGTTTTGAGTCAGTTTCATTTCTGGTAATGACGAGGTTAGCCCACTAGTGTAGTGTTCCTGTTCTCCCCCACACTATGACGCTAGCTGCCTTCCTCTTCTTCACCGCCTCACTACCTCCTCTCTCCTTTATTCTTCTCATTTGATTTCGTCACATTTAAAAAACAATTGACGTATTTGTATTATTTGTTTAAGTTCTCCTTTTTTTCAAATATAATATTTTGATAAGACACAGTACCAGATCCATTTGTAACTAAATGCAGATTGCACTACGTGCCGTGTTGTCTGTTTCTCTTTAAATACATTTATTGCCTGTCCTTAACAAATGAAATATCAAAAATGCATTCTTATAAAGGATGCTCAAAATTGATATTTATTAGAAATAATATTGTTATCCTACACTTCCTCGTGAAGCATTCGAACTTCTGACAGCCAAGCACTCCATATACCTCAGCATATCCAGCACCATACCCACTAGACCACACCTGACTCACTGGTATGGTACTGATATGCTAAGGTGTATGGGGCGCCTGGCTCTCCGAGGTTCGAATCCTTCACAAGGAAGAGTTTTTCTGATATATATATTATTTTTGGAGCATGTTTTCTGAAATAACTGTCATTAAAAACAAGAGCATTATGACTCTTATTTTTTTTCATTCTCCGCAAAGATCGTCTACCATCTGGGAGGTGAAGAAACACTAGATCACTAAATCTTTCCAGTTTTATTGTTCGACGTTTCACCAGCAATGTGACATCTTGAGGAGTACACTCTCTTCCACTAACACAGCTATACTGAGCATACAAAGAAAAATCTAGAAATTTATAAGAGAGGATACACCTCACTCTACGATTTATCTAACCCCCTTAATCGTAGAGAGCGGCGAAGGATAGGGTGAGATGATGGTTGCCTGACTCCGGATTCTAGCTGTCCGCCAGGTCTTACATCTTTCATCTGGAACAGTGGAGGACCACCGAACAGCTGTATGCTCGAAGGCGAATTCATCAGGGTGTTGATTACTTGTGTCACCTCCCGGATGAACACAGCTTCAAGCGTTCAAAGCCTCCCACGATCGTCGGAGCGTGTGATTACTGTCGTATATTTCACAATGTCTTGGCGATTCAGGTTGGTGTTGTGGTGTTGAGAATGATGTCGCTAACATCATTCTCAACACCACAACACCATCCTGAATGACGATGATGATAGCAACATCATTCTCAACACCACAACACCATCCTGAATGACGATGATGATAGTAACATCATTCTCAACACCACAACACCATCCTGAATGACGATGATGATAGCAACATCATTCTCAACACCACAACACCATCCTGAATGACGATGATGATAGCAACATCATTCTCAACACCACAACACCATCCTGAATGACGATGATGATAGCAACATCATTCTCAACACCACAACACCATCCTTAATATCCAAGACATAGTGAAAGATGCGACAATAATCACACACACCGACGACCGTAGGAGGCTTCGTACGCTTGAAGCTGTGTTCATTCGGAAGCTGACACCAGTAATCAACACCCTGATGAATTCGACTTCGAGCATACAGCTGTTCGATGGTCCTCCACTGATCTAGATGAAAGATGTAGGACCTGGCGGACAGCTGACAGCAAGAGTCAGGTGTCTCCTCCTTTATGAACTGGCGTCACTCTTGCTGATTTTGCTTTTCTTAAGGATTATGTTAAGGATTATGTCATTCTGCCCTGCAGAATGACACCATTTCACTCTACTGGAACTGTTTCCATCTTGCTATTTCCAACATCCAATCACCAAACAGTTTACCTTACTCTCAACACCATTCAACTCTCTTAGCGCTGTGTCCGTCTAACTATTTCCAGCATTCAATCGCCACACATCCTATCCTATTCTCAACACCATCCAGCTCTCTCAGTGCTGTGTTCCTCTAGCTATTTCCAACATTTAGTCCTCCCACAGTCTGCCTGATTATTAACACCATTTCACACTTAGTGCTGCGCCTGTCTATTTCCAACATTTAGTCCACACATATCCTCCTACCGTTCCACTGTTAGTGTTGTGTCCGTCTAGCTATTTCCAACATCTGGTCCTATCACAGCTTGCCTCATTCTTAACACACTGTTGGCGCTGTGTCCACCCTCTAATACAACATATTCTTAAGAAGGTGTTATTTGATATCAGATCAGTCAAACCCAACCTAACCTGACCTAATCTGACCTAATCTACCTTAATCTAACTCGACTAAAGCTTAATGTTATTAAATTTGTCCTATTCCCACCTAAATTTGTCCTATTCCCACCTAAATTTAGTCAAATTTAAGTCAATCCATCTAAAATAATGGCAACCTAAGCTAAACTTAACTAATCACAACACAACCAAAGCAGAATTTAACTGTTAGAGCTGTTACGTCTAATTATTCCAGCATCAAGTCCACCCTGGCATACAGCTCATTTTTTGCAAATTTATTCTTAGAAATGTGGTGTTTTTGACATTAACTAAACCAAACTTGCTCTGACCTGACCTCTAATACCTGAGTAAGAGCTGATTTTTGCAACTATATTCTTAGAAATGTATTATTATTGGGCACTTTCCCTACATCAGTTCAACCCAACCAATCTTAACATAACCTCTCATTCCTGGATCTGGACATATTTTACGCCATATTCCTAAAAAAGTTATATTATTCACTATATCCATACCAGGTTAGGTCAGGTCAGGTTTGGTCATCATCACTCAATTCGCCGATGACGTTACTCATGTTGTTACATCGACCCCAGCTGGTCGAAGGACGAAACATGACTAACCAGGAGGGCGAAAGAAGAGCTGACAGATCAACATGGGAACAAAAGTGGAAAATAGTGACAAACTCCAGTAACAGCTCTACTTGATAGACTACTGGGCCAGTTCACTCCGAGTCATCAACACTGGAGGCACGTTATTACGTGTATGAAACTCCATTACGATCCTAGGCTATGACATATCATGACTGCTAAATTCTAATGAATGTGTAAACAAGAAAGCAGCAATGGCCAAGGCGCAATTAGCAATGATATACCGATTGAACCGGGCCCCACCACACGTGAAACTGCATCTGCACAGAATGCTAATTAGGCCACCCTTAGATTCACCCATGCACCCAGCTGAATTTGGTACCAAAAAAAAATACTGCGAGTTCAGAATAGAGCGATACGATCTGTAGCAATGTGTCAATCATGAACAGAGTGAACACTGACAGCCATCATGCCAGACTGAAGATGGAACCACTGAACGTTCTTCTTCTTCTTGAGAATAGGCGCAGTTTGCATGAAGGGGTAACCCTCCCGATGACTGCACCAGGACAGATGTAAGGAGACGCGTTGACGGTCAGGAGGAGAAGAAAGTCAAAAGCGGTAGATGTGATGGGCCGTAGAGAGAGGAGTGGCGACGAAAACAGAGGCGAACGTTAGAGGGAGACTCCCCGCACCGGGGGGCGGGGCGTCGTGATCACGGTGGCAGCTGATCATGCACGGCTTAGCAGCGTGCGCAAGACGGGAACTAATACTTCTCCGGAAACTTGTGTATCGGAAAGCGCAAGCAGTACGCTTCCCATATCACCCGCAGGTCAGCGGGCAGCCGGCCACCAGGCGGCGCCCTCGGCTGAGACATCCTATCCGGCACCCTATACACAAACTCCTTCACCCGCGACACCCAGACAGTGGACGAGCACCACGGGATCGGAAGCACCCGGGCATCCCGATAAGGGCCCAACTCCGGACCCTCACAGGGCACGACCCCAGCAGACGGGACTAGGCAATCCCCAGACTGGAGCAAGGAAGGAGGGGATACAGCAGGGGACGCAGGCGCGGCACCGACCCCACCACCGGGCACAGGAGCCGAGGCTCTCTGGCGCACATCTTTCCGCAACATCACGACAAGGTCACGATCATCAGGGACAACCCCCCACTGCGGAGATCCAACAGCAGGAGACGCAGGAGGAGAGGCACAGGTAGCAACGTCGGAGCCCCTCACAGCACCACCATTCTCGGCGGGGGGCGCCAGATTACCATACTCCCCCACCTCCTCCCAAGGCACACCACGAAGGGGAGACACACTCCGAGCCCGCCGGGAACGCTTCGAGACAGGCCTCACCACACCACGCCCAGCAGGCCCCGCCGCAGGCACGGCCACCATCTTTACATCCACACAGGCCACACCCGCACCGTCCGAAGAGTCCACAGAGGCCACATCATCCAGGGAAACAGCCTCAGAACACCGACGCGCACGCTTCTGCAAAGGGACGGAAAGAGCAGAACTACACTCACCAACACACACAGGCACGGCAGGCACCTCCCCCTGCCGAAGCACCCCCTCTAAAACAGCAGAACCCGCGTCCCCGGGAGCCGGTATCACATCCACAGGCGGGGGCGGGACATGGACCTCCACCGAGACATCCTGCACTACACGCAGCTCAGGCGACGGCCCGACACCCACACACACCGGCTCAACAACCCCAGGGGCCACAGCAGTCACCTGACGTGTCGCCGTAGAACTCGCCCCAACAGGCGGAGCAGCAGACAGGCAATCAGGCGCCTCAGGCACAGCACCTACTCCGTCCTCAGAACCGTCCGAACGTAACAAGGGCGGGAAATCCTCTGCACGAAAAACATGCACCCTACCAGTGGCACCCACGTCGCACGCCGCAGCCAGGTGACCCTCATGACCACACCGATAACAGGTGCGCGGTTGACCCCGGTACAAGCAGCGGAGCGTGTAACCCAACACGGACATCGACGACGGTACACTACACTTCAGCGACATCGTCAGGGT